GTCATCATCAACTGAAAAACGGAGCAGCTGGTTAGTGGAGAGTCCCGCAAGGTGGAGTGTCTGTGTGGAGTCCTAGCACCATACAATGGTAGTCGATCTTCGACTAAAAGTTACATATATCAGATTAACCTTCTGATCGAAACCCATCACCTCCTCGATGCAGACAGGCTAAAATTGCTGACACGGTACTATCAGCCTACAAGATGGAGGTAGCCATTTTAAGGCCCAATAAGGAAATGGTAACGACGATAACGATTACAAAAATTTCCAAAATCGCGCCGTTTCTTCAGGAGAAGGAAAATTTATTCTGGGTTACAATGAATTAAATGTCTTATAAAGTCAAAGAAAAAAATGCCAAAACGATGTAGCTGTAACACTCCAGTGACTTTTATGACAGGAATGACCCTATTCTATTCCGGGGGCAGATGACTTCAACAAACGTAGAGATTAATAAAAAGAAATTAGCTCTGTCAGAAAAATCTGCTGAGCAAACACCATTTGCTCCAAGCCGTGAGCTTCTCGCATAAGAATCGATACCCGACAAGCGACAACAAGGAGATCAGCATGCAGCATGAAGGAACATGGTAGAGTCAAGTTCTGCTTTCGTCTTGCCACGCAGTGATCTGTGTCTCCTAGCAAAAGTGTTGTAAAACTGCGAATACTTCGGATATAATAAGCCAGAGACGTTTTGCTTATGCAAACAGCTCATGGTGATTATCTGAAAAAACACACAACACCAAACAGGAATGTCAAATCGGTGACAAAGCGCAACATTGTGATGCAGCTGATTAAATATTTTAACTGAGAGTCAATATGCATCGGATCACTGAAAACTCTCACAAACTTTTATATTTGACGATGGCCCTTAAAAGAAACAGTTGATTGGCATTAAATCATCAACAATGCATAGATGCAAAATCACATTACAATGAAGGGTGGAACATTTTCGAAGCAATACGGAAAATATCTGCATCTATAGCTATCAGCACATATCAAACAGATGAAACCTATAATAATAACAGTAGGTGTTGCCTTCAATTCTCGTTCAGCGAAAGAGAGTGATACGGTTTGCAACCACAGCAAGTGCTATAACAGAACCTGCTAAAGATGCCCCTTTACAGCTTCTGGAAGCAAGCGATTATGCGGTATGAATACGTATAAATGATACAAGTTAGCATATCACTTCGGCAACGATCAAAACAACCTGTTGTCCGTACAGTTGTATTTTATCTGGCTAATAATGAAAATGGCTAACACTAACTCTTAATAATAAAAATTGAAATAATTCTGAGGTGCAATTCCTACTAATTTACCAGGATTGGAAACTGGAAGTGGGAAGTTTACGCAAAAAAATGATTCCTGCAACTAGGCAAATCCAATCATTTACGGAAGACGTATACAATGTACTCGGTCAAGGTCAAAAGTAATCTATCATGAAAGCCTAAATCCGTATAGATATAAATAATTGTATCAGAAATAACTGTAGAATTAATAGTTGGAAAAAAGGGGAAATATTCAATAATGAAAAAACTAATTCACTGATTTGATAATGCGTTAGGCCACGTATTAAGGCAGCCAAGAAAAATCAAACCATAGCGTAGATCGCTTCATTTGTCTACCTTTAGATTTTTCTGCAAATTTTAAATGCGAGAAAAACAAACACCGGAATTTCAAGAGATGGGTCGAAAATACAGTAATTACAGAGATAAAATGTGACTGTAATGCCGAAACGTTTAAAAATCCGATAATATCAGGAGAAAATGAAAACATATGGTAATAATCGGCTTCTTTCAAAAAATGGCATCGTAAGAACATCATTATCAAGGACCAAGAAAGAATCAAGAAATGGGACGTTACCTGTGCAAGAAACTGAGTCCACTCCTGGTCCGAAATATTCGACAATATATCCAGTTCCTCCTTTAACGGTCAATATGTCGGCCAGTTTCAAAATGACGTCTGAAATCTGCAACGTCAGATAAACCAAAATTTCAATATATACCTTTAGCTGATGTCCAACCACTGAGACTCCCAACCAACTTCACGCCCATGATTTTAGGACATTTCAATTCCCAGGGAAGTCCAGCCATAACATCTACCGCATCCGCGCCTCCAACGCCAATGCAAAGGCCGCCAAGCCCTCCTTAAAACAATTCTAAATCAGTTAAGCAACAAAAACACAGTCTAAACTTCAAGCTAATATCAAGGAAACTGTTTAACAACAATTATACATATCAGAAATAAATTCGTTATTAACTGCAAAGAATCGTATCTGACATTATTATAAGACAGTTTCATCTCCAAAAGATGTCAAAATGGCCTTTGAAGAAGATCAGGGTATCATGATTGTTCAACCCCTATTGTGTATCAATGCATGCCGCATAATGTGATTTGCTCTCTTGCATGTCAATCAACTTTCAGGGTTCAGTATTGCCACAGCCAATAAAATGACCTGAGATGCGCCTATGACAATCAGGTCCTAACAAATCATGGAACCATATTCTACTTATATTTGCGTTCACTTTCTCTAGACTGACAGTTGTTTAAAACGTCAACTGTACTTGCAGATAAATTCGCCATTGTGACAAAAAAAACTGTCAAGATGTATGAGAAGACAAGCACAAGAAAAAAATTAACGAAAATCACCTCCGTTTGGAGTGTGGCTGTCAGTTCCAATCAAAAGCAGCCCCGGAAAGGCATAATTCTCGAGTATGATCTAAACAGACACATTAATAAATCAGAAAATGCATACAATTCGACTCATGTTCATAATCGACATGTGTTCTGCATAAATACACAGATAGCGAAACTTCAGCAATCTGCACCTGATGACAGCTACGTTTGCTTTAGGTCATCTGAGCAAAAGTCTAACCAGATAGCAAAGCATGTGGCTGACTTACAATGACCATACAGGAAATCACAAGCACAGGTCAAAACAACTACAAAGAACATATACATACACCCGGCTCTGTCGTGCAAACTGCGTAAATCAACGATAGTACATAATAAATATTAGATATCAATTAAACAGAAAGGTCGCAATGAGTACTGCAACAGTGACTGAAATATGACTACTAACTTTTTTCCTGTTTCGAAAAATTTTATGAAAAATCAACAAACCAGATATAAAATATAGCCGTTCGAATAACTTCTGACAGTTAAATACACGGTTTCAATTTGTTAACGCAATGAAGTATCAAGTTAATAAAATCTATATTCGACGCCTCGGCTACTGTCCATCTCTCACCTTAGCACAAATTTGGTATTTTTAGTTTATCTGGTTTTGTTTGATCACCGCAAAACTTTGCAACAAACTTTGTTAACAAACAAACAAACAAACTTTGTTAGCGAGACTGTTCAGTGCAGGCAAATGCCGAAAGTACAAACCAGTAAGTAGGAATGAATTACACCAAGTGTCATATAAAGCTATTGAAAAACCCGGCAGCCACATGTACAAGTGTCTAGGCTTTACAGGCGGTATCCTCAGTTTAGATCGCTGCTTACAACCTTGTTCATGGACTTCCAATGACAAACGAATGATGCACATATGTCTGCACTGCGATTGTTAAAGATCACTATATTGGATATGGACATGGATTCAGAAAACTGCATTGATTACCGAATGTTCTATAAATATATTTTTGAACTTCTGTCACCGCATATGATTGCAAGTCCTTATGTGTTATTACGGTACGAAATTCGATACCGATTAATTAGCTGTTGCTAATTTGTAGGTGAAACTGACTTTAGTAATAGATAATGATGTCCCTTTTCCATCAGTGATTGATCACAGAGGCCAGACTTTTTTAAACAATTTGACTGCTTTCTGGCAAAGATTTAAAGCCTATGAATTTCTGAACACGTTAAAAAGGCACAAATCAAAAGGCGGTATCTGAGTGAAAATCTGATTAACAGCATAATATTCTTGAGAAGTGCGATCAAAGTTATTTAAAACTAGATTTCAACCGCCAAAATACATTCCATTACATGTATCAGCACTGCGTACCTGATGAATGATTCCGCTACCAGGTTTCCAGAAGCCAATCCCGTATTTTGCTGAGGCAGAACGAAGAAAATCATATACCTCTTGATTAACGGTCTGAACAGCTATGTCATTAAAATACACACAATAGCCAATGCACGTTAACCTTCGCCTTCTTCAAATCATTTTCTGCGGTATCATCCGCCTGTATCAAATGATCGCAATGAATTGTGGTAGGAACAGAAACTCTATTCAATCCTGATGAAATAAACTGCAAAACTGCCATCTAAAATACACAGCAAATTAGAGAACTGTAAACTGACTTGCAAACAAAGTTAAAACAGAATTTTCTTATCACACAGCAAAACTCAATTCAATAACAAAAGCACAAAACAGTCGTTCGATTATGCAACGATTAAGCGTAAAATGTGTTTGGACTGTTCAGAGTAAAATATTAAAACTGCACAAAGATACGGTTTATTCATATATAACGCAAGGAAACTGGTCAGTCAGGTGATTGATTCAGTAGGACGTTTCGACTCGTGTCCCATAGGCGTTCTTCAGAGCAGTCCGGGTTGATTTCAGCAGATGGTTCTATGGTTCGCAGCCAGTGACATTAGGAACAAAATGCTCGCTTTTGATCCGTGCTGGCAAAGTAGTTTTTTTCGGTAACGGGATTGACTAAACTGACTCGGGTAAAGTTCGTATTCTTTTGATATTTTTGCAGGATTCGATAATTAATGACTTTTTGATGCGTCTGTTCAGCCAGCTTCTTTCTTTAATGAAGCCAGAGCAATCTGACCACTAGAGAACGTGATCCTTCTCTGCTGCGTGTTGCACGATCCCAGTCATTTGTGTACTGTTCTTTGACACGGCTAGGAAAAAGAATCTGTTTCCTTCTCGCATACTTTGTTGCCATATGTCTCTCACGTTTGTCCGCATTGTGCAAGCCAACAAATTTGCTTGCCCCGTGTATGAATAAACCATGATTTTAGATAGTATTTAGTACGATCACCAACGAAAAATTCTACCTTCGGACTCTAGAAAATGCATTCAAATATAACGTCTAAAGGTACTAACACCGAAATGACCTCCTGTTCAAGAAAGGTGGTATATCAAAACAAGAACTACTTATGTTGGAAAGAAGCCCACCTTGGAGAAGCTGGGAGAAAGCTTAAGGCACTAGCATAACATACTTAAGAACCACGTCAGACACTGGATTTCAAGCGGAATCGGGTACAGACCACCCAACAGAAAAAGATGAAGCCTGTGGAAGCCATCAGATTGGAAGAAACAATAATCGAGACGAACAGCCGATAAAAAACCTATAAGATTGTTGTTTACTACGCCATTAACAGCTTCACCTCTCAATCCATACATTGCGGTTCTTCTTTCAATTCATTTTTTATACACTTGCAACGTTCATCATGCCCAGGCGAAAAAATCATTATCGATCAAGGCACATCATCTACACGGATGAGAACTGTGGAGATCAGTAGATGCAAGACATCAAGTTACACCAATAATACACGTGGCTTGGTAGCCTTACATGCAAGATCGTTGCGGTTCCTGCTAAAGAATTATTCGTTGCGCAGTCCCTCCCCCCAATTCCCACCAAACTGTCCATACAATGTAATATATTTACTAAACGCAATAAAACTTTATAAACTTTAATTTAAATCATTAGACTCATGGAAGATTCCTTCAGAAAACAGCTTATTAGTTTTAAAAAATACTGCCGTACTTCTAGAAATGAAATTGCAATAAATTACTTGTTCCTAGTATCTAAGAACTTCTGACAAAAAATTTGTTTGCACGTTAAAAATTATCGCCGCAACAGTCTGTCCTCTGAGGCAACGTGCAGTCTGAACAAGCCATTCTTTAAATCGAGGTTTAGGGGTGATATATCCACGGATAATAGGACTGGGACCCGTAGCCACTGTAAAACATTCCTAGGAACCATAATCCTACACCATAAACATTCAGATAACACGGTCCAAGCTTTTACTTGTCGAACTGTCGTGGAATTACCTTACCGCCTACTACGGAAAAAAAATTTTCGATGACTGGAAAGGAAATGGAAAGTTTACTACTGTTTGACCATAACTGGGCCATTGTGATGCCCCTTCTATTCATGAAGTTGATGGTGCAGTGCTGATCTTCGTCTCTATACCATCAGTCAGGACTACCTTATTTTAAACTCAGAGTCTATAGCCATGTAGCAAATGTAGCGTATAGTTTCCTTGCAACAGAGTGGCACTTAATTATCAACCTCGAAAGGAAGAAGGACGATATCTGATCGGTACTTGAACTCAGTACTTATTGGTTCTGAGCTCGATATTCTATCGCGGAGGAACGCCGGTCTTAAGCAATATGTGTTAAATTTCTTGCTTAAGGGAATTCTTGAATAAGATAAATACTAGCTACGAGCGGAATCGAAACCGGCACATTAGGAGTTCGAACCAGATTTCTTAAACGCTGTGTTAACACGCTAACTGATGATGATTACCTGAAAATGGCTGTGACAGATTGCTGAGTCTCAATCTCAGTTTAAATCAGAAAGGGTGAAGAAATACTGACGTGTCTCCATACGCCGAGTCATCGAGCAGAGCTGCCGATTCCTGCCTCTCTGCTGTGCCATTTTTTACGCTTTCATGCCGTACCTGCTTTCATCCAACGCTCAGCAATGACAAGGGTCGTGCATAGCATCGGTACATTACAGCAGATCGTTGTAATAATCAAGAGGATGAACGACTGAATAATCAGCGCCGTGAAAGTTGGAGGGGCTTGAGATTCGCTCAGGAGCACCGGATAATATTCCAAAAAACGGTATCCGGAAAGTTTGCCGACCCGCAATTCGTTGAAAGGAAAATTCACTGATTCTACAACTGATCGTCGATTTATTTAAAATTTATTATTACGGTATAAAAATATAGGTATCTACTAAAAATCAAAACATCAGTATCATTTAGAGATAGCATATTTCAAAGATAATGTTAATGAGCAGAATAATTACTATATGACCTACTAAAAAACAAATTTTATCTAATGTGTTTATTTAGAAATAGCACATTTGAAGGATGATGACAATGAGCACAATACTCTCAATGCTTTAACCCTATATAAAGCCTCAGAAAATTCAAAGATGACAGTTTCGAAAAGTTCTTAGAGTGTGCTACGTCAGTTACAAATTTTCATTAACCATCATGGCCCTTCAGTTCGTCACGAGTGAAAAGAAAAGACAGAAACTTTTAGTGACAATGACTTACTTTCAAAGAAAAACAAGCTGATAAAATATATTGGAAGTGCCGGATTCGTGCAATAAGTTGGAGATTCCACTGAGGTCATGAAGCAGTTCATAACCATACTGGGGATGCAGCTCATGTAGAAGCTTTGAAGTTGAATAATGTTGTACGTGATCGTGCAATAAAAATCCAAGAAGCAACCCAATACATTATATATACTGTGTCTGTGGGACTTGGCCAAGCTGCAGCAGGACATATTGCGAAGACCGACCGTATCAAAAGAACAATACGAAACATCAGAATAAAGAAACAGGCAGCACCAGCATTACCAATGACCCGAAAGGGAATTGCATTTCCCGAGGAGTACACGATAACTAAAGAAGATGATAGGTTTTTTCTGTTTGACTCAGGACCTATATTTTCCACCGCTAGAAATCTCCGGTTACTGGCCTCATCTCAACATTGGTTTGGGGACGGAACTTTAAAAACAATGCCTAATTTGTTTCACCAACTCTACAGACTCCATGGTATTCAGGCGAACAGTTCAATTCCGCTTTTGTATGTTCCGTTACCACATAAGACAGGCCACATATGTTGGGTTATTACAAAAATTAAACAGCTTCCAGGTTCCTGTCGCAGAAACAGTTGTGACCGATTTCGAACCTGCCATAGTCAGTGTTATTCGTCAAGAATTTTTCAGGGCTAGACATCGAAGATGTTTCTTCCATTTTTCGCAGCGTATATTGCGAAGGGCCGACTGATTACTTTGAGGACTGCTGAATTGGACGTCCTCAACGACGGATGGGACGCCCAATGCCCCGCTTCTCGCTAAAAATGTAGAACTGTCACGAAGGAGTAAGACGCCGTCTTCCGAAGACAAAAAATTCATCGTGGATTCGAAATGTCTGCATAACACCCTAATATTTGGAGGTTTATTGAAACGATTCAGCAAGAGTAGAGCTTCAGAACATTGCAAATAGAACAATACGTAAGTGGCCGACAAGGTATTCATGAGCATAGAAAATATAAGGATTGCGTTGAAAGACATTTCAGAGTAGTTGCCAACTGTGACAGAAATAATGTTTCAAAGTCTTAGACAGGTGTGACATAATATAAATTACTAACTGTAGTAAAAACAAATTTGTATGTGTATATATGTTTCAGGTTTTTTTAATTAAATGATTTCAATGAAATCTGTGTTTTATTCTAAATAAATAGGTACCTACATCATCATCATTTTCAGGCAAATTAATTCAAAATCAACACATTTCAATTTTTAAGAAACACTAATAATACTTTATGATATGAAATAAATTAATGTGCTTAAAGAAGTTTTCCACGTTTCATGGTTTTTAATAAATAAATCATTGGTGATCAATTATAGAATCGGTGAATTTTCCTTTCGACAAATTGCGGGTTGGTGAATTGTTGTCGGTGAAACTTCTCTCGGTGAACTTTCCTAGATCCCTAAAAAACAGAACTGAATGTCAATGCCAGCACGATCCATTTCGAGAAGGGAGAAGAACTTCAAGCTATCCGCTGAACTTTGACCATGTTGAGCACGTTTTCCTAATAAAGGACAGTTACATCCTTCATTGGCTAACTGAAGGAGTGTGCATAACTGTATTAAAACTCGGTTTCTGGATGAAAAATACAGAGGCTAAGGTGATGAAGAATCCGGATGGAAACAGTTGAACCGAATGGTGCAAGAGATGCAGCGCCATCAAAGTTAACGATTTCAGTACTTCGCGCAGCAATAGCAAACGATGGCAACAGTGATTATCACTTAAATTGGAAGGAACTAAAAGGAATGTACTGGTTTCGTTCACCTTTTCAAGTTTTCTTAAAAAACTGGCCTGGAAAGGAAACAGTAACACTCATTAAGGGCGTGGTTTGCATGAAAACCTATTGAAAAGGTTGCAATCGCGATGGTTACGATACCTGCCGAAGATCATGTGGCCCTACCGCTTCAGGAAGTAACCACGACGTTTTGTAGTTTGCGCACTTAACAGACATCTGCAAGACGCACTACGACAAAAGCTGCCACAGTTCCATTATTTCAAAGGAAACAATCAACCCTGACTGGTTCGTTAGCTGTTCACATTACAGCCGTAAACTAGCGACAAAAGATCGGTAAGGATCGGCAAAATCTTATGGCACAGGTAATTAAATGGAGATCTATTGGCGAGGATGAATATTTCCCCTGTCTGTTGTGGGAACAATTTCCAATATCAAAATGCGAAAGATAGATAATCCAACACCACATGGCTTAAGCTGAGTGCAATTCTGTCCGCAACGAAGTTACAGATGATGCTGATGAAACAATGAACAATAAAATAGTATAATAAAAGCGCAATCCAAAAATTTGCCTATTCTATCAGTCCTCTTAACAAATGACATTTACTGCCATCACTTGCCATTCAGACCGATTTCAAACAATGCAAAACCAGTCATTGCTTATTAGTGCAATATTTCGATTAAAGGTTAGCAGCTTCTTCAGGGCTACTGGTTGCTAAAGCATCGAAAAAGCAAACGTCGTCGAAAGCCATGGTAGATTTTCAATAATTATTAAGCAACAACAGAAAACATTTGCAAGACAAATCTTTAAGCAGAATTTTAGAATTCTTTGAAACAGTTCTTTGTTTCTTTGTCTATAAGTATTTCAACATAGTTCCTCCAGTTCGTTCTTCTTATCTGTGTTTTCAAATTCGAGTTCTTTTTTATTCCATTCAATAAATAATCACTCGCCTGACGCGTCTCGACCTGATCTGGAGTACAGAATCCGAATGGGCCTTGATGTACAGCAACTGCTTTTTCCGACTAAGAAGTCGCAGCTGAGAGGGTTTGGATACTTGCAGAGGATGCTTTCAGATGAAATAACTACTACTTGCCCAACCGACCGATGGAAGAACTCTGCTATGAGATTAACCTGCGGTAAATCCCTTGATACACTCCATTTCAGACTCGACTTTTTGCCGAAGCTCAGACGTTGGTACAGGATCGGGAACGTTGGAAGCACTGTCTCATGAGCCTGCCTTTGCTTGTACAACGAGTCATCCAAATAGATTGATTAATTCCAGAAATAAAAATTTCAAACTTCACAGCGAAGAAAATTTGCACCATGTGTAAAAATCTTCCGCTACAATGTATGTTAATAAATGGAAGAAAGAAACATGAGGGACAAAGATACACAGTAAAACTCACTTCCTAACGTGAAATTAAAAAGATCTGAATGATTTGTAAAAAGCAAACAAGCGCAACCTGTGCAGTCGCATCTTGCATAGCAACTCGATCCGGTCTCAGTTTGAGATAGCTTTTTCCACGAACCAGTTCCTGGCTTTCGGGATGGTCGATATGTGAAAAAAGGAGTTTTTCACTGAGGGTAAGAGGCCTCTTCAGCCTG